CCCCAATGACCTCACATATCGCATTAATCCCAAACACCAGAGCTCAGTCCCAGAGGATCTACGGCTCAGGCAGAGCCCGACACCAGCCATCCAGACAACTGGTAATCACCACAATACAAGCCAAAATCCTTTTACCAAATACAGGCCTTTACCTTCCAGTGGCATTCTGAAAAATGCAGCCAGCCAGGATGTCTATCCTTTTGATCAGCAGGATATCAATAAGTCATACATCCCGAAACCCCCAAATTGCTGGGATGCATATGACCAAGAGACCCAGGGTCCCCGCATCCAAGTGAAAATGGACTCTAATCCCCTCACAGTTCAGCAAAAGTTTGCATCCTCTAAGTCCTATAATGAAGACCTAGTTCAGGGAGGGAAGGATAAGTCACAGATGGGTCCCTCAGCTGTGCTAATGATGGATCCCAGCTCCGCTTCTCTGTTGCAGCTCACCACTGAAGAGGTGATGAAGCTGAAGAAAATCATCTCAAGCTCAATGTAAAGATCAGTTCAAATCATTACACAGACACTCCAACACCACATTGAAGCTTACTCACTTTCATATCATATCTTTCATATATTCTATCTTATTGAAGTTTTACACTGTGTATATATTTAAATATATTTGTAAAAAGTGTGACATTAACAACAATCATAATTTTAATAATAATTCATTCACAGGAACACAGCTTGATTGAAGGAGAATGTGCTCTGTTTTTATGGTTCCCTATGCTATTTTCTATGTTTTTTATGTGCAGTAATATTATTTGTATTATACATTTAATACCTTTAACCTAATTATGATGTAAATCTAAATAAATTCAAATGAATAAAACTGAAGTTTCATGACTCATTTGTTGATTGGGTGATCTTTATTTCACACAACTACGGTGATTTTTCCTGAATCCGTTCAAACAATCAATTATTTTTTATAAAGCTTATTAATCTTTCCCTTTTGAGAGTAGATATAAAATGGTTGAAAAAGGCATAACAACCTTTACTGCACATTTATGGCATCTTAGAAAAAAAGAACTACAACTTGTACGGAGGTAGTGGCCTCAAGCTATATTCTGGAGGAGGTGTGGTAGTTATTGTCAGACATCCACGTAATTTTATTCCCAGCAGAATCTGCCAGTTTCAATTCCCTCACTAATTAAATATCCAATAAACATATTACATAATATAATATAATAATATATAATATGTATAGCTGCCTGTGTGCGTTCAGATTTGTGGTAATATTTAAAGGGAGTGTTCTCAAATTTTTACCCTCTTTGTTTAATAATCAAAGTCTTCACTTCTAATCTTTTATATTCAAATCTTTAATTTGTTACTTCTGCCCTTTATGAACATTTAATGTGCATAGAAGAACCATAAAAGCAGTTAAGTTAAAAGAACATACGTCAACAGCGCTTTAGTCAGCTTTGTTTTTATTTGTTTGTCAGACCAGCATGATTGAAGCTTAGTCTACTGTTAAGTTATTGTTATTGCTATAACTATGTATTAGATTCAGTGAATAACGTGGAATTTTTAGGTGTGACAACAACATGAAAATAGAACTGACACTCCCATCATTGTAACTTTAGATGCTGATTATTGCGTGCAAATTGCTCATTAACATCACAAAAGTCCTGTGATAACTATGATGGGTTCATTGTCCAAAAGTGTATTTCATTTGAATGGGGCTTTAAACCATTAATATAGACAGACGTACTGAAAAAGCTATCGGCTTACAAGCTAATTCCACGTCACTCTTGGGTTTGTTTTGTTCACTTGTTTACCTGCTCTTTATCACATGAGATGCATCACTGTACATAAGTGAATGACAGGGATTTACTGAGCTTACTATAGATATCTGGCCTTTATTTCATGGCTAGGAAGCCCTCAGGGGCTGGAATAGCTGGAATAGTCAGACATTGACATTCAGTTGGGATTCATGCCCTTAAAAGATTGTGATTACAGCACGAGAACATTCTGTAACAGACACAGGAAGACCTGACTTACTGGCTCAATATAAGTTCTAAATAATATTATTTAGTTATTTAGTTAGTTAGTTTAGTTATTTAGTTTACAACTGAGTAATGTTGATACATTAATATTTAACTTTCTGCGTTTTTGGTGTAACAAAAAAAACTTGTAACTCTTTACCTTTATACTTGTTTTGTCCAGCCAATAGTTGAAACCCCTTAGAATAAATGATTCGAGCGTTTTAATGGACCCTAAACCTAAACAAAATTATGATTCATTTGAAAGCCTTGTTCTTAGTCTTTCTCACCCATCCTGGAAAACACTGCAGCCAGTTCTATTTGTTATAGTTAACCGCGCTCCTGGACCGTACTCTGATTTTATATCTGAATTCTCAGAGTTTTTATCAAGTTTAGTCCTCAAATCAGACAAAGTAATTATTGTAGGTGATTTTAATATTCATGTGGATGTTGACAATGACAATGTCAACATCCAAATGTAACGCATTTATCTCATTAATAGACTCAATTGGCTTCTGTCAGAGTGTAAATAAACCAACTCATGGTTTTAATCACACTCTTGACCTTATTCTATCATATGGCATTGATATTGAACATTTAATAGTCTTCCCACATAATCCTTTTCTATCTGACCATTATTTAATAACTTTTGAATTCATACTATTAGATTATAAGCCATTAGGCAAAACTTCCTACAGCAGATGTCTATCTGACAGTGCTGTAGCTAAATTTAAGGAGGAGATCCCTTCAGTGTTTAATTCAATGCCATGTCTGAATTTAACAGAGTACTATAACAACTTTAGTCCCTCTGAAATTGATAATCTTGTTAATAGTGTTGCAGACTCACTACGATCAACATTAGATTCTATCTTTTTCGTTTTAAATTATTAAAACATAGGAAACTAACACCGTGGTACAACCACCAAACCCACCAATTAAAGCAAATATCTAGGAAATCTGAAAGGAAATGGCGCTCATCCACATTATTAGAATATCGCTCAATTTGGCAAGATAATCTTAAAACTTATAGAAAGGCCCTCCGTAATGCCAGAGGAGCCTATTATTCAGCACTAATAGAAGAAAATAAGAACAACCCCAGGTTCCTCTTCAGCACTGTAGCCAGGCTGACAGAGAGTCACAGCTCTATTGAGCCACATATCCCCATAAACCTAAGTAGCAACGACTTCATGAGCTTCTTTTATAACAAAATTATTACTATTAGAGAGAAAATTAGTCACCAAATGCCCTCAACAGGAATCACTGGCTCTCCAAGTTCAGGAACTTTAACTAATGTAAAATCAGATATATATTTAGAATGTTTTTCTGCTATCGATCTTCATCAGTTAACTTCAATAATTTCTTCATCGAAGCCATCAACCTGTCTATTAGAACCGATCCCAACTAGGCTGCTTAAAGAAGTCGTACCCTTAATTGGCACTTCTTTACTGGATACGATTAATCTTTCTTTATTATCAGGATATGTACCACAGTCCTTTAAAGTAGCTGTAATTAAACCCCTTCTTAAAAAGCCCACTCTCGACCCAGGGCTTTTAGCTAACTATAGACCAATTTCTAACCCCCCCTTTCTCTCTAAGATTCTGGAGAAAGTAGTCGCCTAACAGTTGTGTGACTTTCTCCATAACAATAGTTTATTTGAGGATTTTCAGTCAGGAGTTCATCACAGCATAGAGACAGCTCTGGTTAAAGTTAATAATGACCTTTTGATTGCATCTGACAATGGACTTGTCTCTGTACTTGTATTATTAGATTAGCTCCCTGTAAAATTTAGAATAGAATTTAAAATCCTTCCCCTCACCTACAAAGCTCTTCATGGTCAGGCCCCTTCATATCTTAAAGAGCTCATAGCACCCTATTACCCCTCTAGAACACTACATTCTCTGAAGGCTGGGCTACTTGTGGTTCCTATAGTCTCTAAAAGTAGAACAGGAGCCAGAGCCTTCAGTTACCAAGCTCCTCTCCTGTGGAACCAGCTTCCAGTTGTGGTTCGGGAGGCAGACACCCTCTCCACATTCAAGAGTAGGCTTAAGACGTTCCTCTTTGATAAAGCTTATAGTTAGGGCTGGATCAGGTGAGTCCTGAACCATCCCTTAGGTATGCTGCTACAGGCCTGGACTATCGGGGGATTTCCCATGGTGCACTGAGCTCCTCTCTTCCTCTCTCTCTCTGCACTCATTCATGTTCCATTAATGCATGTTACTAACTTCACTTCTTCCCCGGAGTTCTTGTGCTTTCTCGTCTCACAGGTTCTCATGGATCCTGGTGGAGCCTCCTGCCATGGTCCTGCTTGACTGCCATTGCTAATATCACTGATATTATTGTTATTATTATTATTAATATTATTATTACTACAGTTACTATTATTACTATTGTCACTGCTCATTGTCCCCCATCATTGCTGTCGTCGTCGTCGTCATCATCTTCTTCATGTTCATCATCATCAGTCACTACTATTAGTGTAGTTGTTGCTACTGTTGTTACTGTGCAACTGTCTGTCCGTCTGTCTCTCTCTCTCTCACCCCAACTGGTCGAGGCAGACGACCACCCACCTAGAGCCAAAAGATCTGTCCTAGGTTTCCGCCTCTTAAGAGACAGTTTTTCCTTGCTCATGGTGGTACTGTTGGGTCTCTGTAAATGTTATAAGGAATTCGGCCTAGACCTGCTCCATTTGAAAAGTGTCCTGAGATAACTTTTGTTATGAATTGGTGCTATACAAATACAATTGAATTGAATTGAATTGAATTGAATTAAAAAGAACAATATTTCCTCTGAAATGTACGATAAAAATGGCTCATTCTAAGGTAACGGAAACACAATTTTCAAGTGATTATACACTAATGAAAATACTATATTACTGGTGGTAACAGCAATTGCAGGTAGTACTATGGGTCAAAAAACTCCTCGAACAGCTACTTTGTCAGAAATAACTACAACATAAGAGCAATTGTTTTTTTCAATTATGGCAGCCAAACAGACTACCGTCTTTTTAGTAAAGAAGTCAGGCAGTAATTGGCCTTTTCCATCATTCTATGAGCAACTATGAGCTGTGTAATTCTTTACAGCATGACCTTGTGAACAGCAGGGCAGAGTGAAAGCAGTTGGTTACTTCGCTGAGAGGTTGGAGGTGTGCAGCCTGTCGCCTGCAGCTCTTCATCAGGCACCTCACTGTGGCTGCTCATTTTTGTTTCATTAATCCCTGCAATATTTCAAACTAATCCGCTGTCAAAAAATGACCGTTGGTTTCTTTTGTAGACGTATTTTTGATGAACGATAGCGTCACTGAGCTCACTGACTAGCACATTACCTGTGCTTGCTTCATAAAAAGAGTCAACTTGTCTTTCGCCAGTTAAGTGTTTTTAATGTGAAGCTGCAGCAGTAGGAAAAGGAATGTCACCTCCAACAAACACTTCGTAATACTGCACATGTAAACACTGATCAGCCATAACATCATGACTACTGACTGATGAAGTGAATAAGACTGACTATCTCATTATCATGGCACCTGTCAGTGGGTGGGATATATTAGGCAGCAAGTCAACATTTTGTCCTCAAATTGATGTGTTAGAAGCAGGAAAAATGGGCAGCGTGAGGATTTGAGCAGCTTTGACAAGGGCCAAATTGTGATGGCTAGACGACTGGGTCAGAGCATCTCCAAAACTGCAGCTTTTGTGGGGTGTTCCCGGTCTGCAGCGGTCAGTACCTATCAAAAGCAGTCCAAGGAAGGAACAGTGGTGAACCGGAGACCGGAGGTCATGGGACTCACTGATGTACGTGGGGCTGGCCCGTAAATGGACCTGTACTTGTATAGCGCCTTTCTAGTCTTCTGACCACTCACAGCGCTTTTACACTACGTGCCACATTCACCCTTTCACACACATTCACTGAGTCATGGCAAAGTCCATCGAACAGAAACTTACATTCATACACATTCACACACCGATGCACTGAATCTGGAGCAATTTGGGGTTCAGTATCTTGCTTAAGGATACTTCTATATGTGGCACCAGGAGCCGGGGATCGAACCCACAACCTTCCCATTAAGGAACAACCCGCTCTGCCTCTGAGCCACAGCTCAAACTGTTGAAAAAGTTAATGCTGCTTCTGATAGAGAGCTGTCAGAACACACAGGGCAGTTTGTTACATAAGGGGCTGCATAACATTATGGTGGTCATAATGTTATGGCTGATCGGTGTAAATATTGGTTGGTTGGGTTAACAGTTTAGCTCCATGGAGGCGAGGTAGGAGATTGTGTAGAAGAATGTGTCCTCTGCGGATTTTGAAATAGCACCATTTATCATGTCCATGTCAGTTTCCTTGACCAGGCGTAGTGACCACTAACGAATAGAATAAGGACAGGTCGTCACCCCTCCAGTGCGACTGTGGCAGGGTCATCAATAACTTCAAGAAAAAGAGAGAGAAAAAAAGAAAATATTAGTAGAATGTTAAAAATATATGCTGGTGCTCTTAAATAGCACCATTTCTGTTTTGGTATCTATCTGGGTAAAATTAACTGCAAGGCAGGTATATCATAATGGAAATTGTTCCTGCGTGACTCACACACCACAGGGCTCATCCCGTCCAATCATCACACCTTAATGACAGTTGAAACTATTCATGCATGTATCTGTTAAAACCACAGCTCAAGTTTTGAGCCAATTTCTTATCTGGGAGTTGACTGGAATGAGGATATGGTCCCTTTACTTACCAGAAAACACACAAAACATTATTTGCCAGATCGAATGACAAGGACGCAAGTCATCATTACTTGTAGGCTACATTAATCTCCAGGCAGAAGGAACTGTATGACAGTTTTTAAATTTTGTTTTAATCTACACCATAATAAAACTTGTACAACAATGCAGTGCCTTGATTATACAGCATTTTATAGTACAGTATTTTATTTTTCTAAAATGGCCTGATTATCCTGCTTTCACTCTCAAATATTCCTCATAAACACCTAATAATCAATCTAAAAATGTCTGTACTACTTTTATTATCTCTGTGAATACATTTGAATCCCTGAATATAAATTCACAGCTGGTAGGAAATACTTTTCTGGAGATTCAAAGAAATTAGATTTATTGCACACTGTATGAAAAGGTTGGTTGGGCATCTTTAACAGGAACATTGGTTTATATGTATTTATAAAGCCCTTAATGGCAACTCATCATATATCCCCTCCTTACAAAACTGGTTCCATAGTTATTGTTCAACTTGAAGTCCTGCGTGCAAGCGCTGAATCTGGGAAAGCTGCTTTTAGTTTTTGTGCTGAACACACTTGGAAAACTTTACAACACACCTTAAAACTAGGGCTGCTCCCCAACAGTTAACTAAACCGTTAAAAATTAACAGCGTCAAACTCTACAACTTTTTTGTTTGTTTGTTTGTTTTGTTTTTGTGAAGTTATTTATTTTGCATTTTATGTGATTTTATACTGTTTAATTAAATGCTCAGCCTCCTTGCTGGTCGTTCTGTCAGAATCATTACTACATACATGCAACAGCCGCTAGGCATCTAACTGGTGTCTGACTAATAGCTGTATAGAATATGGTTATGTTTACAATACAGAGAGGGGTCTGACTCATTCCAAGTGTACTGGAAAAAGAACATTCACAAATGAAGCAGTCAAAGTTTCACAAAGCCAGCATTGTAAAAGCATCACCCAGTCATCTTCTTAACTTGTGACTTCACATATCAATTATCTGTCTCCAGTACAACCTGTTCTTAAAGACATCTTTGACCAATCTTTGTCCTTTCTCTGTACACAAACCATGACACTCCTGAACAATATATGTATCATTTGACACCCAGGTGCATAATGTGCAGACTTAAACTTGTAACTTTGATTGTTTGCCATTCTTAGGAGTCAAATAATCTGGAAAACATTCCGTGTTTGAGGACATAGCCCACATTGTATAGGAAGACTATTACGTGTTTGAGTCAAAGGGGTGTTTAACTTGCTTAGCTCTGATGTCACATGATAAATAATGACACTGCTGACCTCAATAGGTGAATGAAAGAACACTTTGTGACTTATAAATAATAACAGTCGGAACAAGAAATTCAACCCTAATATGTAATTATAGCTTGTTGATAAAGCCTGAATATGAAAAAAAGAATCCCCCACGGTAGTTCCACAGTAAATGTGATTTAAGTGAGCAGTTAACTCTTCACACAACCAATAATATAAGACTACTTAAGTACTATGCGTGCTGGAATTTGCTTCTTCGCTCAACACCTTTTCTAGTCCAGGAGTGTCAAATTCAGACACTTTTGTTTGTATGTTGTACATTTTCATGCCTCAGAGTCAGTGGTGTGTCCTATTCAGAGTTGCAATATCTCCAGTCACAATTCAAACCTTGTTGGACTGTCACAACAAACAAGCATGATGAGCAGAGGAGAGGTGAGGGGAGGATTTTGATTTTGTATTTAATACACCAGGAGAAAGTCAATCATACTGGCAAATTCATGCGGAGGTGAAAATGTGATTAGCAGAGAAAGCCTACCTTTCCTTGTAGTAGGAAGAAAGCAAAGTGCGGATCTCAACAGATAAATCTGGAACCACAAGACCCTCTCTGGGGGCGGAGGGTGTTACTGAAAAAGGCAAACAGGAAGAGGATTAGCATTTTAAAGATATAAAACTCTCAAGCAAATATTCTAAACATATCCTTTTGCAAGTGGAATAATTTTCCCCAGGATGATCAGTGAATGATAACGGGGAATTTGGCGAAACATTTTTATTTCCGTTACTGCATTATTTTGTCCTCTCTTCCTTGTGAGAGTTTTTTTCTTGCAACCTGTCTTAAAGATAGGAATGGTCTTTTAAAACATTTTGTCATTCAAACGAAACTCTCACATTTTCGATGCAAACCAATTTGTTCCCCTTGGTTGCAGCTATAGAATACAGGTCTATATTTTTCTGATCAGTATGACTGATGTTTTTGTCAACAGGTGTTGGAGATAATACGCCTATTCATGCAGACAGAGTCTGGCCTGTTGTTCCAGGTCATTGTTGGGCAGCTTTATTTATCTGTTTTACATCCTGCTATTTACTCAAACCCGTTAGTCAACTTATGCAAGGTGTCGCTCCAGCTTTCTGCAGATGAAGACAAAGCATGTGCAAATGAGCCATTACATTTCCCCTTTCATTATATTGTCAGAATTCCTGGCATGGAAAGATAGATGTGCAAGTGTAAGCAGGCCATAAAAAGCTAATTTATCCTTAGGTATATATTGTTTATTGTTTGTATGTTGTAGGTTATGTATGCAATTTTTAGCTCCTTAACTACAAATGGTGTAACATTTTTGGATGGTATTGCATATATTTTCTTTTCTTGCTGTTCGAGGCACCCATTTATTTCTTTTAATTTCCACATGGAAATCAATTAACGGACTAATGAAACTTTCTCACAGTGAAGATTAAGTAGTGCAGTGAAGCAGTTATAACCATTCCTTTCATATTAACAATGGATCACATGACCGCATTGCTTGTCATATCAGTCAACTCTGCATTTCCCCCCAGTCCTATGGATCTGATGGATTCATTTTATTACTATTTTGGTTTTACTGTTATGGTACATTCTGATCAGCATTTTGGCAGCAGCATGCAGCTGTTTTGACGGTATAAAAAAATGTAAAAAATCCATGGCACACTATCTGCCAAGTAACACACAGCAAATACCTGATGAACACAGTGCAGCATTTAGCATTGGCATTTAGACAAATATTTTCTTCAGGGGTTAGTGGTGAGCAAAACAACATGGTAAAAGTAGAGTGAATGTTGGACTTGGTATTTGTCAGGGGGTAACAAACAAGACTCCAAATGAATGCTAATGTAGCTCAGTATCTGCTGGATCTGTAACTATACAACCATTTGCTAACAAGTTCATCATGTTTGTTTCTGCTGCCCCCAAGCAACCGAAAATTGTTTGTTGCAGCTTTAATTTATGCAGTTATTCAGTTTAACAGCAGATTGATTTGAAAAGTCTTCACTGTATTTTTAATGTAACTCTGACACAAATAAAAGCAGACTTGTTTTCACTGTAATGGATTGCACAACTCTGTCAAAACAGATTTTGTCTACATGCAGAAATGAACAAAGCAGATAAAAGACCGGAATGGCAGACATACATTTAAATTGCTGAACCATTTATTTGCACAATGGTTAGTCGTTGAAGTAAGGGAGCGACTGGAATCAAACCAAAACCGATTGATTAAAAGGCTTCCACTTGTGTTACTCTACCTATTTCGTGGTAGAGCGATCCCTGCTTTACTGCTATGGGTTTGCTGGAACTCAGCATTTCGATCTTCATGAGGCAATCACAACACTGGTTCCACTGGCCTGCAACAAATTGTATAAGCAGTGACTTTCAAAGAACATGAATGGCAAAGCTTTTGTCAACAGTTAATCTACTGTCAGTTTATGTCTCTCTCTGGCTGGCATTATCTCAATACTTATGCTAGCTGGAGAATCTGTGACAATACATAAAGCATGAGATGATGTTTCCCTGTACCACATACCACATACCAGACAGGGTGATTAATAGAATACCTTATTCAATTATACCTCTTTAAGACTTACAGTAATTATGGGAATAACTATTTGTGTTTGTGTTGTGCTGGTGTCCTGCATACTTACACCTGACCGAGCAACAACAATTTCCTTGGCAAGACAAATATCTAGTCATCTAAACATTCTCAAGGATGATGACAAACCAAAGCTAAGCTCCCATACACCCCAGAAATAACCCCTTTAATTAAAAATGAATTCAAATGAACGATTACTGTGGTGGGAAATGGGCTCCCTGCCATACAAGATAAGTGATCTTTGCACACCTGTACGCAGATAGGTGTGTAAAAGTACCAAGATTTAGCTCCCATACATCATTTCTAATTGCCTGAGGAATGTCGATGTGCTAAAACAATTCAGTAAATCTAGTGTTAGTGTGCTGTGCCATTGTACAAATGTTCCTGTACTTTGCAGTTTGCACTAAGAACATACAGATTATTTATTTCCAGTAAAATGATAGGTGCAAAGACAGTTAAATGGTAAACACAAGACTGCTTACGATCACACCCTAGTTCACACTAAGGGAGTGGCACTTCACCACATTCACATATTCACACAATATTCAAGCCTGTTCTCTCTGTAACAGTTTTGGAAACACATTATTCATGTTTTATTTTTTACCACAAAAGAGGTTTGTTCAAAAATGCAATTGCTCCTGCTCGCTTAATAAAGAAGATGCATTGCATATCTTAGGTCTCAGAAATGCACTGAGGCATGAAGAAACTACAATATTAGCCCTGGGGTGCACAGTATCTAATTAATGTGGCACTAGCAGACATAGGGGCACATTCTTGGTGCAGGCACCTCATAGAAATTATTGGTAGAAAGCACAAAGCTGTCCTCTCTCTCTTTCCCCAACTTACTTACTCAAACGTTTGGATGGGGGCATGCATGAAGTTCCTACGAATGGGAGGATAGAACTCTGCCTCTATACTCCGCATGGGAACACACAATTTTTATATTTGCTACATATATTTATAATACTATCAGAGAAAACCGCAGTATTGAAGGGAAAAGTGCATTATTTTAGTGCTGAGGGGGATACGACCCCGCTGTCTCCACTGAGAATTATGCTTATAATCAATATTATTCACTCTCAGGTAAAAGAAAAATGTAAACAGGAAAGAAGCCATTTTAATTCTCTACAAGGAAGCAAAAGAAGTTCCTGAAAATGTTCAGATTGAGGAGATACGTTACAGTGATGGTATAATTTAATTAGGGGGAGGGGGCAATTTTATCAAGTTATTGTTGCCATTTTGATGGAAATTCTCTTATTCAGCAAGTCCCTCACTTTCTTCCCAAAATCTTAACAGTCATGTCAGGATTTTGCTCGGAGATCCAGCTTCTGCTGTTCTGTTTTTTTTTATTCACACATTGTTATGATTTAATAAGGCGGATGACTGATGCATGCTATTATCAGCAACGATGGTATGTAGGCAATTTAAAAAAAGTTGGGTTCGGGACAAAACATGCCTTTCGTACTGTGACTAATATCTGTACCTACTGTCACTGTGCTGCATTTGATCAGCCATAACATTATGACCACTGACTGGTGAAGTGAATATTATCATGTCAGTGGGTGGGATATATTAGGCAGCAAGTCAACATTTTGTCCTCAAGAAGTGGTAGAAGCAGGAAAAATGGGCAGTGTAAGGGATTGAGTGACTTTGAAAAGGGCCAAAGGATGGCTAGACGACTCGGTCAGAGCATCTCCAAAACTGCAGCTATGGTACGTACCTATCAAAAGTGGTCCGAGGAAGGAAAACCAGTGAACCAGAGACAGGGTCATGGGTGCACGTGGGGATCAAAGGCTGGACCGTGAGGTCCGAATCCAAGGGACAGGGTGCCCAGGTGGTCATAATGTTACAGCTGATCGGTATATATCAAAATCATTCTCAGCTTAAAGCAGTCATCTGACAGATGCACTATAACACAAATAATTATCACTTAATTCGTTTTAGCATCTTTTTTATCTTATTATTTTGTTTTTACACAACTGTACTGTTTTGGTTCACATTCACCTCTTATCAGCATCGATTTAAGGATTTGCCTAGCACCAAATGGCAGACAAAGTTAGCAACTAACTGGTGAACACAGGTGAGCATTAAGCAATTAAAAAGTCATACATTTCTCTCAGGAGTAGGTGGAGACAACAAAGAGCGCTGAAAAGAGAGTGAATATGGATCTTTCATGTTGCCCAGAGATGGCAACTGTATGCTAACAAGTTCATCATATTAACTTAAAAGTTGATATATGTCAGTATTTTTTTTACAGCTTGTTTACACTGCCCCCAAGTGGTCCAGAAAAGCAGTTTGCAGGTTTAAGACTACTCTTTCGTACGCTTGCCAATACCTAGTGAACCAGTTCATTCACTCAGGATGTAGCCCCAGAGCTCCAACAAACACAACTGGCAGTGTCCATGGGTGGGAAGCCTGCTGGGGATCAGTTATACGCAACAGGAGCAGGGGCAGGACATTATGCGAGGAGTTATTTGCCAATATGTACATTTGGTTTTGCGTTGTCTTTTGAGGTAGTAATATGCCACTTTTACACAAAATGTGCTGCTCTGCTCAGTTTGGTGGAAGTTTGTAGAGAAATAAAAGTTAAAAATATTTTAAACTACCACATGCCACATTGTCTAATGATGGTGCTTGGGCGAAACTTACTTTTGCATTACACTATGTTGTAGAATAAGATTGAAGGTACATGAGAAAACTATAAAACTGTTGGCAGTATGAGTCGAAGTGGCCCTTTTATTTTATTTTATTTATAATGTATTTATATTTGTACTCCAACACAATGGAGACTGACTTAGGAGTTTTCATTATCATGTTAATATCACACAAGTATGTCACACATGCAGGTGTTGTCTTGAAACAAATCACACAAATTCTAACAAAATCTTTTGTCACCCGTATGTAGATAAAAAGATTATTATATTTTGTTCATGTTCGCCAGATGCGGAAGTACATGCAATTAAATCTCATGATCTCAGTCAGACAAAAGCCAAATATTTTCGTTGTCAGACTCTATTCATCTAAAGGCTGGCACGTCTTACTGATGTCATTAAAGAATGCTGTCTCGCAGGTATCAGCAGGTATATTTTGGGTCCCTTTGAATTACATACACAAAGTCGATAAACACCCCCAGTAACCATTTCCAGTTATAGAGACTTGGCTGAGTGATGGCTGTAATCAAGTGTAGATTGTTTCCCATGATCTTTTGAATACAGTCATGAGTATAACTGCTGCTCAGTAACAGTATTACTTGCAGTGGTGTTTTGCCATCCTAATTCACATGAAAATACAGAAGATTCAAGACTGAGACAAATGGAGTTAAGTTATACAGTATGCAACAGCTCCAGCTGGAACAGTTAAATACTTGTGTAAAAACTGGGCACAATAGTGACAACTGAGACTGAAGGTCTGAACTGGCAGTTGCAGTCTGTTACACCGATGATGACATTAGACAAGCATGTGCTGCCTGCTGCTTGCAGATTACAGTCGATTGAGGAACATATGTCAAATGGAGATAAGATTGTCATTGTCATATCTTTGGAGTTCAGAATAGGCAACTCTACTCTATTTACTATGAAAAAGCCACCATAGAGAGCCTTATGGTGTTCTGGGACATGCATCCTGTATTTTTTTTACAAGGCCTATTGAAGCATCTGTTATGTCTTTTGTGTTAGAAACCCCCAATGTGGTCTCTTTTCACTTTCTGCTTCTGTCGCTCTCTGAGTTCCGAATTTGTTTTTTGACAAAATTCATAATGTCTAATTTCTAGTATCCATCAGCATGATCAAAAGAAGATGGAACAATGAAGACAGCACCAACTCTGCAAGCAACTTAAAATTGCATGAGTTTGTGTGAACAAAATAATTTGTAGCGCTTTTGAATAGACTGCATTATTACCGCTGCCAAGGAGGTTATGTTTTCAGTTATTTTAGTTTTTCTTCTGCCTGTTTGTTTGTTTATCAGCCAGATTTCTTCAAATAGGCCTACTCATTTATATATTCCAGTGATCAAAGATGTCCATGACCGAGCATGTGTATTATGATGTAGATCTGACGTTGGTTATTTTTCGTGCATTACTTGTACTTGTCAGTTTGCCAAAGCACTTTTTAATTAACATTAAAGCTATTGCTTTGTCCTTGGCCCAATCCACACCTGAAAGAATAATAGGGTAAACAAAATTTCTTATAATTATTGAATTATAATTATATTTTACTCCTACTTAAAGTTGCTTTGCTAGTAGCTAATGTTAGAGGCTAGTGGGGTTAAATAATCAGTTTTGTTCATTCAGGCCTCACTCATGTTATAGACGTGCTGCCAGAGGGCCTCGGCCCAGCGCTGTGTGTCTTCAGGGGTGTGCGTGGTCAGCATGTAGGTTACGTCCTCTCCTTGACGCTGTGTACTGATGTATATATTCCGGCCATGGGCAGAATCTCTCTCTGACACACAGACAAGGGTATCCTGACACAAAAACACATAAACATAATCATTTTCAAACCTAATTATTCAGGTAATCGGGTTGGATTATTCCTCAAAAATGCATGACAAAGCACTAGATGAGTGTTTTCAGACAAACATCCACATAGCTAAGAAACTGCAGGTAGCCAGAACACTACTGAAATATTAATAGCTAACAAATTGATTGACAAAATAATCCAACAGTTTTAACTGGAGTTTGACAGAAACTCAGAATAAATCTGCTGCTGACGATAACATCCTTTTTACAAATATATCAGCTGCAGGAGTACATTTGAACGTTTTACATCATACACTATCAGGTACTTTAATCCTGTGTCTGGGGAACCATGACAGGATTAATGAAATGAAAGCCAAGTTCTGCATCACAGATTTGTATAAATTGTTTGTGTATTTAACAGTTATTTAAACAACACAACCCATCATTTAAATAATGAAAGAGGAGAAATCACTGCTAACAACTCATAAACATCTGAAACTGGCACCGAGAAGACACAAACCAAAAAGATGTCCAGTGTGTAGTCAGTAACTAGTGCCTATACCATAGTTGTCAGATGAATGTAATGGAGGAAAAAGTACAATATTTCCCCAGTTAAGTTCAAGTGCCTCAAAATAGTAGCAATATTAGAAAAATATTTGAGTAAATGTACTTAGTTACTTTTCATCACTGGATTTCCACTATTGTTTTGTGTGCAATAAGCTGTAAATCAATGTCTGTAGATTGGGCACTATTTATATGACATATTTTAACTATAGATATATGTCTAACAGACTATGACAGAAATTAATCCGGTTAAAAGTGGATAAAATATTCCAATCTTCAAATGCACACCATTACAATGTGTTTCCTCTCCTTGGAAATTCACCAGTGCACTCTGGTGGCTTCGGAATGTTATTGTAATCAACATGGACTAAACCATAAATGAATCCATCTATTTATTCATGACTCTGCTCATTTAGAACCAACCTTTCTAATGTGGATTACAAGTAATGGCTTGTCCTCAGACTCCAGGTCTTCTTGATTCTGATAGCAGAGAAGACTTTGCCCCCTGAGGATGCCATAGACATTTTGCCAGCAATTAAGGTCCTCTTCAAGCTGAATGAGATTGGGCAGTAAAGTGATACAGTGAATGATAATGAGATACAATTTTTTTTTAATCACATGGCAGGATAATATATGACAGTCTAGTTACCTTAACCTTGAGTTGGCCACTTATGACTGACTGAATCATGCACAGAGGCTGAGCAACTAGGCGGCAGCACATATTGCCATACAGAGGCAACCAGAATGGACTATCCTCTGGGAGAAAAAAAAAAAAGAAATGAGGGATAATAGTAGAGGAGAAGAGACAAGAAGAAGAGAGGACTTACCTGTTGCTGCTAGTGACAAATCATGTGTCTTGAAACTGTCCTGGACGTGTTCGATTCTCAGTGTTGTGTGAGCCAGCAGGTTATACTTAGGCCCCCTTAAGACAGAAAGCACGGGGCAAAATCAATCTTCACTTTTCTGACACTCAGTTAAAAACAATTTTCCTTTAGTGTGTGTTTCAGTAAGAATTGGCATCCTCACAGTGTAGACAGGTCAGGGGATAAAGGTGGTGACACACGTCTAGGTCCTACATCTCCACAGGATCCACAACCAGTTGCAGACTCAAACGCAGCACGGATCTTCGTCCCAGAGGAGCATCCCAGAGAGCCACCCAGACGGCTCAGTCTCCTGGGTCCTAGAGCCGCCGGTGAGAAACCCTCAACAGCACAACTGCTGTACAGCTCAACCCGGAGCTGAAACCCTGGACCTACCTCGTTGCTGCTTACACACAGACACATTTATACCAGGACATATAGAATGTCTTTAAAGTGGGACTGCACAAAGACTAAACCTAAAAAAAATGTATAATTAAAAACAGATGACTTACAAAATGATAGTGTCTTCAAAACAGATATCAGTTAAAGTCCTGTCTACCATCACCAGATCAGTGTCATGGATCTCTGTGCCACACTGAAGCAGGCAGAACACAGCGCAGCGTTGTAGCTCTGCAGGTAAAAAGAATAGAGTAAAAACTGCCTTAAGTTCTTGCTATATTTGATTTTTTCTGATGATGATATACACGACTAGGCATTATGGTGAGGTTAACAAGGTTTCCATGCAATCAGAGTCTTTATTTTGTAGCAGATTTTCTCTTTCAAACCATATAATCCCAACTGAGACATTTCCATAAGTGCAACCAGCCCCTCTTGATCACACCATGCAGACTTACCTCCTTTGTTTTTGAAGTACTCTGAGTCTTTCCACATCAGTGGGATTCGCAGGTCTATAGAGTGCAATTTTTTTAAAAGTTAGAAATATAAAAGACAGGTTCAAGAATTTTTATGAATTTATGGCAAGATAATTTGTTAACACTCACCTGAAAAGGCTACTTTTCCCATACATGACACTAAGTCTTCAGATGGCCTGTAGTAAAAGAAATAGATCATCTATCCAACATACCATACATTCATACAACAATATGTATAGGGGATGCACAAAATAACAGGAACTTGTGTGGAATTTTATTGTACTTTATTAAATTTCATTAAAATGTAAATACAATAAATCAGGTAAACCCACATGTCTAAACAAAACACTCACAAATGTTAGCTTGTCAGGCCTCTAGTGGCTGGTAGGAGGTATGGCACTGTCCACAAACACTTCACTTGCTTCACTCTCTTCGCTCCACTGATAATAGATCTATTATCTGTCTATTTACCCATACAAACTATATATATATATCTATAGATATAGATATATATATCCTTGCACTCCATCTGACCTGCGCCCCACTCTCTGTAGGATTTGAGCTTTCCTCATCCTCTGTAGTTGGCTGAGCAAGGCCAGAATCCGGGCATTGCAGGTAAGCAGGCTCTTGGAGGCCTCCAGGGCCTGCTCTCTCCTGGAACAAGCTGCCAGTAGCTTACTGGCCCCCTCCCGCATCCGCACCTCCCTCTCAATCTGCTTCAGCACCTCTTCATCCTGTTCGAGATTTGTGGAAAATAGAACATTCCTTTGATCAAAACTATCATCTTTTCATTAAAGAGAAAGACAGATAAACAGCTTAGATTGTTCAAAGGTACGTACTGACAATAATCTGACTTCCGGGAACCAACCAAACAGTCAAAGCATGAGTACAATGCGTTTAGCCATGCTGGAGGCGTGGCTCTAGGGATGGCAATGTTGGTCTGTCAGTCTTCCACCACTTTGGTGCAACCTGGCATATATTTTACCAACTATTGGATGGATTGCTATGAAACTTCGTACAGACATTCACGGTCCCTAGAGGATGACCCCTACTGACCTTAGCCGCTTCCATGGCAGGAACTTTCCCCAGGGACTAGGAACCTTCCACCACGGGGAGTCTTGACAACTATTGGATGGATTGTGATGAAATCACCACTAAGTACAGCCTAATGGACCAACATGCAGGCTATTGACTCTTAGTCTTGTTATTTGATGTGTCATAAGGTAAGGGAATGCAATTAGTCATTCCAATTTCCAGTTGTTGTTGCTGATATACAGTGATAAATAGGACTAGGACATTGTATCAGGTGGTAGTCATTATTACCAGCCTTGTAACTTTCCAACACTCAAACACACTGACCCAGAATTGTTACATAAGAGCCCAGTACCCATGAGGTGACAGTGTTAAACTAGTGAGTGCATCACATTAATCCCTGGATATAGTCCAGCTGTCAGAGCCCTGACACTGATTCAGATAAGTTGGTTAGATCACAAGTAGCAAGGTACATGTTGTTGGAATTTACTTCCACACAATAGACAATGCTGTCTTTGTCTTTGTAAGATTTTATGATCTTATGCTCTGACAGGTAAAAAACAAAATGCTGTGTGGAACTATTGAAAAACTCTTCCAAAGTCCACATGCAGTATGTTGAATCCCTTGAGGGAATTCTTTGTTGATAATCCTCTTAGTAGCATGTTTCCTAATAAAGCTTTTTATAGCAGTGTCTCTAGTTGAGAGGGCTGTTCTATTTATAATTTCATTATGTAGACATTATGATGTACTGCCATGATTATTAAGATCTTTTCACATTATGAGTAAAAAATAGTCATGCAATATGATGTTTGCCAGATCTATTATTATTAGCGATATGCTTCTGTACTTTGTGGTCATCCGAATGGACCATCAGTGAGTTGATACACTTCAGGCGATTATTCTACGACAACATCAAATTTTCCCATCATTAACACAATGGACACAGCCTCAGCACGAATGTTATATAATATTTTTAGACTTGTTTAACAATGTATATAATTTATGTAGTTTTGTCTTTTGGTTAATGTCACATTCTTGGGCAGTCTTTTGAGGTTTACCATGCATTAAAACAAGCCATATAAGTAAAGTGAAGTACAGCTCTAGGGATCAGAAGGTTGTTGCATAATTCGATCATGTTTTCTGAGCCTAAGCCCCGTTGATATGTTGCAATTTTTTCTACATAATAACATAACCTGTAGTTCACTCAACTGGTATAGCAAAAACTTTAAATGCTTCATTTGTGTCATCATACCTTTCAAAAAGTAAAGCACACCTAAAACTGATGATGATGCTTGATGATTAATCAAATATATAGATTTTTTACAGAACCACTGTATGGATTCAAATGTTATCTATTAAGAAACCATCATGTTAAAGTGCAAATCACTGACGATCATTGGTCCGCAGATACTTTTCCTAACTTGTATGACAATTACCTGAAAATGATTTTTCTTTAAAGGTTATATTTTGTAGCTACTTTGAATGAAAACAAAACATAATCATACATACATTCATGCACTGAACCACAATATAAGCACTTATAATGAATTATTCACAAATGCAAAAATACAAAAAATACAAAACTCCTCTTATTTCACTAACCTGGGTGTTATCATTCATGTTCCTTCTCTGCAGTGCCTCAGTGGTGTGCTCCAGCAGTCAGCAGGCAGTGCAGTGCAGTGAGTGGACTGACTAATCTCACAGCTGACTGGAAGAGCGTTTGAGTGGACCTGCAGACAGAGCAGTTAGTTACTCAACAGAGAGATCAAAACGGTCTTAAGCCTCACCACAAGTGGTTGCAGCATGGGAGATTAGTGGAGTCTTTTATTCCGTCAGCTCTGTCACATGCAACAATGATATACAGTGAATATTGACATTTTCTTAAAATACTTAAAACATACTGTAATATTCCCTTTTTGAATCACAGAGGTGGCTTTAATCATTTCTGAGGTCACAATTTGTGGTGTTGTGAATACATTTCCTTCTGTGGCGCACACCTCATCCTTAAACACAGCATTTCAATGCGTCAGTGGTGATGTTTGTCATGTGCTGTTCATAAAGGCCAGTCAGCCATACATTTCAGTCCCATTTGAGTTCTGTCAGAAAAAGCCCCAAGGGGTTTTAAATCACAACCACGCATCAGTATCCAAAATGGCCAATGACATTCTTAATGGCTGGTGGTGATTTTTGTCTAGCCCTACTGGCAACATGTTCATAATAGTGATAGTTTCAGTTTCAACCTCTGTTTGTTCCTCTCAAGTAGTGGGCATTCCATTCAAGCATTTGCTTTTCTGACAAAAAGAAAAACTGACAGATCATTTAAAGACTTTTATAACCATCTGGATGGAAAATATTTGTTTGTTATGGTAAAAAAAATATATATATATAAAACCAGGGTGCAAACTACAGGGGAGCCAGGGTGTGAAACATGAGTTGTGAAATTTATGGGGGGGGGGTCTGTCAAATACTGACAATATGCTATTTATACCATGCATTTTTCTGTATTTTCATCATCATGGCTCATGTGTACATTTAGGAAATTATTAAATGTATGACTCATGTATAAAGGTGATTCATCACAAATTCACAAAATTAAGTGAATATTCATGTTGTATATGAGACTGCTCAATGTTGAACAGTTCTATGAAGAAACCAGATTGTAAATTTAATATTTAATTAAACAAAATGAACACAAATAGTCTACCACTTTACAGTGTGGCAGCAATCTGGCAGCAGACACAAAGCCAATAACAAAAACCAGCCCGGGCTGTGCACAAGTAATAATATATTCATTCTACAGGTCTGATAAAGACACAAACACAGGGGATGTTTGATATACAGCTTTATAATTAAACTTTTTTCTCATTATGAAAACAGCAAACTCAACATTCAAAAAATAAGCAAACTAGAATCTAGATGAAAGACTGGATCAAGTGTTGGTGGAAGAATACCTTTTATTCAAATCTTACATAATTCCACATTAAATTTTTCATGAACTAATGAAACACATGGTAAAGAACACATGATGTGTTTTTGTTTCAAGTATCAAACATAATAATCTGAATGCTGTTGATCTGTACAAGGACCTGTTTGAACATTCAACTGATCTATATACTATAAACAGTAAAACAAAATGTCTTAACAGAAAAACGGACTACTTTCTGCTGTTTGTGGTGAATTTCAGAATAAAATACAATTGCAATATTACTACATGAAATGAAAGGCCAACTTTAAGACACCCTTTTTTTTTATAAAATACAACCAAAAAAATGTTTCCGGTTAGAACAGATGATTAAAAATGAACACAAAAACACTCAAAAGAGGCATTAAAAAGGTAAGACATTTAAACATGCCACTGTACATGATAGCAAGTAATCCAGTTTTTATTCCTGAGACCAATGTTGTGGTCTGTGTTAATGGAACAGGTATGGAAAAATGAAAACAAAAAACAGTTTACTATTGTACAATATGTACATATTCACAGGTAATTATAATCAAGTTAGGAAATCTGAACATTGAATAATTGGGACAAAGCGGTCACCTCTTCGAGTCAAACTAGTGTTTTACCAGTGTTTCGGTTATTGAGTAACAATTCAATATTTATTATTTGAACTGATGGTCGTGTAAAAAGGCATTTCAGTAAATTGAAACTACTGTACATATTCAAAGTGCTTGTGAAAGTGAAAATGCATCCGTCAGTCTAGTAAATTTTGCTTCACTTAATTGCAACTGACAGCAAACACAACAAAAACAAACTCTTTTAGTTATAAATTAACCTTTACAAACATAACTTAACACAAAAAATATTTTAAAAAGGCAAGCCTGCAGGTTACTCCTCTCACTCCACCTCTCCATGGCTTTTTATCCCTCTTCCACTTCTGTAAAAATGTCACTTAAGAAGTACTGAGACACGCTGGTGGGCTCCTCTATAGAGGTGCTCTCCACATCGTCACTGTGCTGGGAAGCTGGAACCTACAACAAAGGAGAACAAAGGATGAGCTGTAATCGACTCTAAGTGGGTGTGTAACAATTCCACTGACTTAAGATGACCCCCCCTGCCTTTATACCCTCCTCACCGTAGCTGGACACAAGAAAGTGTTAGGAGTCGAGCACAGTCGGCTGTGCTCTGAGTTCTGTTCCATGTCCACCTCGGTTTGTGTTGGTGACGTAATAGAGGGTGTGGAATGGGTGTCCTCTGGCAGCTGTGTGGGACTGGGTGAGGGAGCGATATCGTAGGATGTTGAGGCTACAGGTGCTGGGGTAGATCGTTTCCTTGCTGCACGCAGAGTTTTGACCTTGGAGCCCTTGGAAGCTGCTTTGCAAGGTGGAGAACTGCTTGAAGGGTCAGTGATGTCTGTCTCAGCAAGGGAGGAAGGAAGGCCTTTGGGATTTCTGTCAGGTAGTGGAAAATAAAAATTAATTGATATTAATTGCAAATCAGATATCAACATGAAAACCAACAAACTACTACTGGCTTCACCTATTCCGACTCCTAGTCCCCCTAGTCTGTGTAGTTTGTGCTCCAGAGCTGCGATCCTCGACCTCATTCCCACTCATCAGAGTCTCCTTTTCAGTGTCTTCACGATCACCGCTTCCTTTCTGTGGCTCAGTGACGACCTCATCAAAGTCTTTTGGCTGCACAGAAGGCCCGGGACACTCGGACTCCTGGGTGGAGATAGGCTCTGCTTCCTTGGCAGTGAGGGTCTTGCTGGCTTGTTTCTTTTTTTGAGTTTTGGGCTTAGCCTGCAGTTTGGCTGGTTCAAACAGAAACAGGTACACAATGAAAAAGATGTGCCCAAATTCCCTGAGTGCATGCGATGAGTAAGTATTAATTTACTGCATACCTGTTCTTCCAGTGCCCATTAGTCTTTGTTTTGTAGGGGGATGTTCAGTCTCATCATTATTCTCTACAGTCTCTGGTAATATGGATGACTGGACTGTAGTACTCTCTGTTCCATAAACACAAATAATGCACATTTATCATTTCTAATACGACATTAATCATTACTTTAAATAAATGACAGAATAATGCAGTCACTCTACCATGTGGATCCACTGGATTCTCCATGATCGAACCCTGGTGTGGGTGAGAAAAATATGTGTGTGACAAATACAGACATTTTATCACATTGCAGCTACAAGTGGTTCCTTACAGCTTCACTTACTATATATGCAGCTGGGTCCGGTCCAGTATCTTTTACATTAATGAGGCCTGTCTCACCACTCTCCTCCATGGACACAGGCACAGCGACATTAGAGAGAGGCCCATCTCCCGCTGCTGCCAAACTCTCTCCAGAAACAGTGCTGAGGAAAGTTTTAAAATAAAAGGCTGAACAAAACCAGACCCACGCCGGCATGAAAAGGTGATAAAAGGCAGGCACTAACCTCTGCTGCTGTATTGATGCATCTTCTACGGGAAGATAAGGGAGAGGCTCAGACGTACCGTCTACCACCTCCCCTGATGAACAGACTGGGATCTCAGTCAAAGAGAGGATGAAAAACGGTTCATCTGGATCTGAAGGCAACTGCTCTGGCAGCACTGAGAGTGAGAATGAGAGTGAGAGAGGTCTTATCCAAATCCATGGTGCATATACTAAATATAATTCACAGCACAAAAACAACTTAAGAGAGTGGAGTGATCTCTGAATGACTTACGGTCTGGAAATATTGTGAGACTCGGATGGCTTTGGATCCCTCCTGTAATTGATGTTGATGCATCCTGGTGAAGAGAATCAGAGAAACATATTTAAGAAGTAATACTTAAATGTGGTAAGAGTTTCTCAACCAAGATTACACCCTACCCTTGGTTTCCTGATTGCTTAATTGTAGTATGCAGTGGACTTGTGGGGAAGCATCTGCATTCATTATGTTTCTCCACTACTATATTCTCCTTTTAATTTGTCATCCAGTCTGTATGTCCACAAGATATGCCTCCTCCTGCACACACTGATCAATATCTTACCTGAACAGAATTGTCAGGCACTTCTTTCACACAGCCCACAGGGGCTCCAGCAACTTTTGAAGGCAAGTCTTGTTGATTCAGTTGTTCAGTAACTTGTGTCAAGCAGCCAAGCGAGGAAACGGCATCACTTGGAGGGCAATTTAGACTACTATGTTGCTCAATAGCTCCCTCTACTGGTTCCTGAATGTCAGGCTGGAGTTCAGACACAGGTTTGTCGGAAATCGTAGCATCCACACTTTGTGCGCAAATACCAGAGTCTGGGAAGAAAGAAGAACGTTTAGTGATCAACAGCAGTGCTGCAGGGCCATAGATGGTAGTAATCCTGAACATCTGCTCAACATTCTTTGAGGTAAGGAAGATTTAATATTTTTCAAACCTGCTTCTGCTTGTTTTATATTCTGGACTTTTTGGGGTTGTGAAGGTTGGCTGCTGCGTCTCAGGTTGGGTTTGGGTTTAACAAGCCGACCTCTACGAGTCTGAGGAGCTTTTCTTGAGGACTGGGATGAGTCAGCTGACTTCGACGTATTATCATCAGTGCTTTAAGTGAAAAACAAACTCTGTTACAAGAGAAACTAATAATTGCTTAATACTTCCTTAAAAACATTAGGCTGTGAATAAAGCATGAGAACAATTCTTGTACCGTGTTATACCTTTTACAACACAGAATCACAAAATGTCTTACCTTTGGGAAGTTATTTGATTAGTGGCAGGGGTTTCAGAACATTGTTGGACTGCATCTTGACTTTGTGCCTCGGAAGCATTCTCTGAACTTGGACTTTCTTTTGGAGCTGGTGTGGACTGTGTATTAGTAAGG